CTTCTGCACCCTCTCCATTTTGTCCACATCCTTTATGAAGTGAGGCCTCCAGAACTGCACACAGTACTCCAGGTGCGGTCTGACCAAGGCAGTATACAGAGGGGCTATGACCGCCTGTGATTTCAATGCTATGGCCCTTTTAATACAACCCAAGACTGAATTTGCCTTTTTTGCCACCGCATCACACTGACTGCTCATATTTAGTTTACAGTCCACCCTTACCCCAAGATCTCTTTCGCATACACTACTCCCCAGAAACGTATCCCCCATCCAGTATTTGTGCTTGACATTTTTGTGGCCCAGATGTAATACTGTGCATTTATCTTTGTTGAATTGCATCCTGTTTGCTACTGCCCACTTCTCCAGAGTATTCAAGTCTTGTTGAATCTTAACTATCTTCTTGGGTGTCTGCTAATCCTCCCAATTTGGTATCATCAGCAAATTTAATGAGTAGCCCTTCATCCAGATTGATAAAAATATTGAAAAGTACCGGGCCCCAAACCAAGCCCTGTGGCACCCCACCGGACACCTTCCTTCAATCTGATGAAACGCCATTGGCCACCACTCTTTGGGTGTGGTCCTCTAACCAGTTCCCTATCCACCAAACTGTCCTGTAGTCCAGTCCACAGTCTTCCAGTTTCCCCATCAGAATGTCATGGGGAACCTTATCAAAAGCTTTACTGAAATCCAGGTAAATCACATCAACAGAGTTCCCATGATCCAGTAAGCTCGTCACACAATCAAAGAAGGACACCAGGTTGGTCTGATAAGATCTGTTGGGGACAAAACCATGCTGACTTCCCCGGATCACTAAGTGGTCTTTCAGATGCTTACAGATTGATCCCTTTAAAATCTGCTCTAATATCTTCCCAACAACAGAAATCAGACTGACTGACCTGTAGTTTCCCGGGTCATCCTTCTTCCCTTTCTTAAAGATCAGGATAACATTTGCTCTTCTCCAATCTTGTGGCACATCCCCAGTCTTCCAGGAGGCCTTGAAAATGATGGACACAGGCTCTGCACATTCATTAGACAGTTCTTTGAGCAGTCTTGGGTGCACACCATCTGGCCCAGGGGATTTGTATTCATCCAGTGCAGCCAGGTGCCTCTCCACAACCTCTCTGTCAAGGTCAACTGGACACTCAGGTGTCCTCCTATACCATCTCTAGATGGGCTTGAGGTCTTCTGGGAGGAAACAGAGGCAAAAAAGTCATTAAGCCTGTCTGCTTTTTCTCTGTCCTCCACCAGAGTTTCTCCTTCTACTCCCAAAAGCGGTCCAGTTGCCTCTTTTACCTTGCTTTTGCTTCTCACATACCTGTAGAAGTTTTTCTTATTGTAGCGAGCCCCCCTGGCCAGACCCAACTCATACTGAGCTTTGGTTTCCCTGATGGCTGATCTGCAGTACCTAGTAACTCTCGTATACTCCTCTTTAGAGGTCTGACCTTCCCTCCATTTCCCTCCATTTCCTTTTTCTCCCTTAGCTTATTCTGAAGCTCTCGGTTCATCCACATTGGTTTCTTGGAGCCCTTACCATGTTTCCGTCTTGCTGGAATAGTGAGGGTTTGAGCTTCCAAAAGCTCATGTTTGAGAAGAGCCCACCCTTCACTTGCTCCTTTCCCTTCCAGCACACTCCCCCACGGAATGACTCCCATCAAGCCTTTCCCTTCCAGCACACTCCCATCAAGTTGGCCCTACGAAAATCTAACCTAGGAGTCTATGAACTTCCTTGACCCCCCACAGCAACTGGAATTCAAGGAGGACATGGTCACTTCCTCCTAAGATCCCCACCACCTTCACCCCATCTACCAATTCTTCCCTGTTGATTAATATTAAGTCTAATATGGCCGAACTCCTTGTATCTTCCTTCACCATTTGAAAAAGGAAGTTGTCGGCCAGACAGGTCAGGAAGTTTCGTGATTCTTGTCGCTTTGTTGAGCCTGTCTCCCAGCACACATTGGGAAAGTTGAAGTCTCCCATAATTATAAGGTTCTGATGGTCTGGACACTCTACCAATCTGTTCAAGGAGGCCAGCATCCATTTCCTGTCCCTGGTCAGGCGGTCTGTAGCAGACTCCAACAACAATACCCTTTGTCCTACCTCCCCTTATTTTCACCCATATACTTTTCACGGGGCTGTCAACCCCATTCTCCAGAACTTCCTGACAATCTAGCCCTCTCTTCACATACAGCGCCACTCTACCTCCTCTTCTACCCTTCCGGTTTTTCTTGAACAACTCATCCCCATCCACTACCACACCCCAGTCATGAGAATCTTCCCACCAAGTCTCAGTGATTCCTATTATATCATAGCCCTCTGTTTGCAAGAGAATCTCTAACTCTTCCTTCTTATTGTCCATACTACAGGCATTGGTATATAGGCACTTGTAGCCTTGTACCTTTGTTTGACCTGTCCTACCCAGGTGGGCCCCCACTGTTTTCTCTTCTTCCTTGAAGTCCCCATGTTGATTGTCCCCTTTCCCTTGTGGCTTCAGTTTAAAACTCTCCTGATTAAGCTCTCCAGGTTCTTTCCAAACGTTTTCTTCCCTGACCTTGAGAGGTAAAGTCCATCATGTGGTAGAAGGCCTTCTCTAAGAAAACTTATCCTGTGGTCCCACAACCCAAAGCGCTCCTGCCAGCACCACCATCTCAGCCAACGATTCACCTCGAGTATGGTGTGTTCTCTTCGCACTCCTCTTCCTTTGACTGGAAGAAGAGAATTCCACCTGTGCCCCCAATGCCTTCAACTTCCTTCCAAGAGCTTCATAGTCCTCTTTAATTTTCGTGATGGTATTCGCGGCTGTGTCATTTGTCCCCAGATGAACCAACACAAACGGGTACTGATCAGTAGGTCGTATCAGTTTTGGCAGTCGGTCTGTAATATCCTGAATTCTGGCCCCCGGTAAGTAACACATCTCTTGGAGTAGGGGATCCAGCCTGGACACATTACGTTCCATACCCCTGAGCAGAGAGTCCTCGACAACCACCACTTTGTTTCCTTTCACTTCCTTGTGGCACCATGCCCTCTTCACTCCCTTTTCCAGGTCTTTGTGGCTCTCCTTCTACTTTTGTCTTGAGCTCCAGTGGACCAGAGTGTCGTCTTAGTCAATGTCTTTGGGTTTGTACTGTAGAACTGAGAGGAGGCTCAGGAGGGAGAACTACTCTTTCTGCTCCTTGACTTTCTTCTTCATGTTCTTGCAGAGTCCCCAAGCTCTTGTCAATAAAATCCTCCCCTTCCTTGATTTCCTGAAGGGTGGTGAACCTCTCCTGCAGGCTCTGAATGTTCTCCTCCAAAAGCCTGACCATCTTACACTTCTGTCAAGTGAAGTCCATCTTCTCTTCCAGGAGGAAAACAAACATGGCACACTCCAATGCAGGTGACTGGAAAGGGGCCTTCAGTCAACATCATTGCCATCCAAGTATATTCCAAGAGTACTCTGAGCAGAGTTTCGGGGCCCTGAGTAAGATCCTCAAGGCTCGTGCCTCTGACAAGGAGGAGCCTCTTGTTTCAAAAGGTCACTTCCTGCCAAGCAAGTCCAGACTACCTGCAAGCAGTGTTCCCTCTAAGCAGAGTTAGTGTGAGCTAGCTCAGTTTTCTAGCCTCCAGCTCACACATTTTTGTCTTAGCTCAGGAAGGATGGCTCCAGAGCAAACTAATTTACGCAGTAGCCAAATTGCTCGCTCACAACTTTAATGCCAGTAGCTCGCAAAGTAGAATGTTTGCTCACAAGACTCCACAGCTTAGAGGGAGCATTGCCTGCAAGCCCTACAAAAATGGCTTACTAAAAAGTTCAAGGCAGTAGGAAGAGTAAATGAGATGACTCAATAAAGGAAGCCACGAGGGCCTTCAGTTTGCAAGACCTGAGGAAAGCTGTTAATGATAGGATGTTTTGGAGGTCACGAATCCATAGGATCACCATAAGTTGGAAGCAACTTGATGGCACTTAACACAGAAGACACAGTTTATAAATGACCCAGGTGGGTTTTGACAAGCTGAATTATTCTTATTATTCCTCTTACTTACAGGAACAAATTCATGTTTAGTTTTTAAGCTTTATGAACTATTATTCACTGGGCCAATACATCCGGAAGTTTGATGGCCTAAAGACTGGGCAAATGTGCCCGGCTAGAATCATGAGAAATTCAATAGCAGAATTCTATTGAATAATTTAATATTGATTTAAATATTTCTCTGGTTATAGCAACACACTGGAAAAAGGTCAGTATTGCCATCCAGAAGTGAGGGATTTTATAAAACATGGACTGTGGCTTTATCAGCAAAACTGACATTTGACCACAAAACTCAAAGCAGTCATGTCCAGAATACTGATGTAACTTTTCTGTTATTGTGCTGCTTTGCTCTTGTTTAAGTACACTGTCTACTTATTTTTAAAAAATCATAAATATTTCTATACCTTTATATGATTGCATATGGGAGGGAAGATGGTATAGTATAGCCCAATCTTGTCAGATCATGGAAGCTGAGGAGGGCCAGTACTTACCACCAAGGAAGGCTCTGCAGGGGAAGGCCATGGCAGACCACCTCCCTCTGCTTCTCACTTGCCTTGAAAGCCCCTTGCTGGGCTCTCCATAAATCAGCTGCAACTAGACAGCACATATGTATGTATATGATTGCATGGGAGAAAAATAAACTCACGCTTGCAAAAGCTTTAATAGAGTAACTTACAATGAAGTTGTCAACTTTATTTGGTGCTGCTCCCCTTCCCCAACATTGAAAAAAACCTTGAGAAGAGACCCATTTAGGCTATATCAAAAGTTGTCACTATCGCAGTTCAGCAATAAATTGTTCATACATGATTCCATCTCGGGATGGATATTTTTTTTCTTATGCAACAAAATATTGATACTTGGGAGTAACTAAATTCAAAGGAGACACACAGCATGTCCATAAATGCATGCAAATTGAGACTGAGTCATAGAAAGCCTATATAATAGATGGTGTGTTAACCACGGGCTGGTTGGGAGTCTATGGTCAAGACAAAAGGAAGGGGCAACAAAAAAAGGCAGGAGCTTTCAATCAGTTCATTCATAACTAGCTAACTTTTGGTTTTATATCTTTTTCCTCTGCTTCATCATCGCTGTCATCGACTTGCTGGATGACCAAGTCAGTTGACCCGTCCTCAACGATCTCGATGTCTGACTTGTTGTCTTCCCCATAATTCCAGCTCGATTCCTTGTCTTCTTCCAGAGGGAACTCAGGTGGTGGTTCTGTGTCCAGGTCAATCCGGATGCTGTCAATGCCTGCTTCCGACAGACATTCATTGCAAAGTCTGTACCGTCTCGTCCCTTCCTGGACCACCTGCCCGGTCATTTCAGTCACATGACGCTTGCATTTTCGGCAGATGGGTTTGCAAGCTTGGTGGATCTGCAAAGGTTGAAAGGGTTATCTTTGGTCATTGCTCTAAAGCAAAAAAGCAAAACACTTTTTTTTACATGTAACAGCCATCTCAATATCAAGATACTTAAAACTTCACTCAGCTTGGTTTGATGAAAAGAAAAATCTAAGAAGAAGGACGCCCCTTTGGTTAGAAGAATTATTTTGAGATGGACACCCACAATGTCTTCATCAAGACTAGCCAAGTTAGGACACAAAAACAAGGATGGGTACTAGACCTTGGAAGAAGTTCTTGTACTTCAACAGTGTCTGTTCAATGTATAATTCTGTATACTGATATTGTGTGGGTCAGTTTTAAATTGCACCTGGTGTAAAGGATGAGGTTGGATAAACGGGGTCCCTGATTCAAATCTCATCTCTGCCTCAAACTCTCAAGGTCAGGTGGGTGGTAAATTTCCAGCTTGAGGGCTTCAAGTTGGATGCCATCCCTTTTCTCCCAACTTTGCTGCTCTTAATGGAATTCAGCCCTAAACCAGTTGAACAATTTCAGGGGAGCATCACTCTGCTAAACTGATGCTCCTGACAAGCAGCCTGGAGCTTGGATGAAAAGCTCCTGAGGGCTAGATGTGGCTCATGGGCTATCATCTGTTCACCTGTGTTTTTGGTAGCCTTAGGCTATGGTCAGACGGCCCGATATAGTTGCTGTTTCCTTACGGATTCAATGGGCTGGGTCACACAGGCACCTGTTCCCCAGTCGTACTCACCCTGTCATATGACAAGTTGGATGCAGAGTAAACAGCCACCGGAGAAAGTCTGGTGCTTATGGATGTCAGCACATCCATCCCATGTTTCTGGATGTCTGAAATCCCCTCTTATGAAGTCAAGCTGTTTAGGAAGTCTGAACCTTCCCTTCTGTTTCTGCCTCCTTTTTTTTTTCTTAGATCGCATCCCTGATGAATATACAGTAGAGGTGAAGAATAGATTCAAGGGTCTGGATTTGATAGAGAGAGTGCCTGAAGAACTATGGAAGGAGGTTCGTGACATTGTACAGGAGGCAGCAATCACCACCATCCCAAAGAAAAAGAAATGCAAGAAAGCAAAGTGGCTTTCTGATGAGGCTTTACAAATAAGCAGAGGAAAGAAGGAAAGCAAAAGGCAAAGGCAAAAAGGAAAGATTTACCCAACTGAATGCAGATTTCCAGAGAACAGCAAGGAGAGATAAGGAGGCCTTCCTGAATGAACAGTGCAAAGTAATAGAAGAAAACAATAGAATGGGAAGGACTAGAGATCTCTTCAAGAAAATTGGAGAAATCAAGGGAGCGTTCCATGCAAAGATGGCCATGATAAAGGACAAAAACGGTAGGGAACTAACAGAAGCAGAAGAGATTAGGAAAAGATGGCAAGAATACACAGAAGAACTATACAAGAAAGACCTCGATGTCCTTGACAACCACGATGGTATAATCACTGACCTCGAGCCAGACATCCTGGAATGTGAAGTTAAATGGGCCTTAGAAAGCATTACTAACAACAAAGCTAGTGGAGGTGATGGTATCCCAGCTGAGCTATTCAAAGTCTTAGAAGAGGATGCTGTTAAAGTTCTGCACTCCATTTGCCAGCAAATTTGGAAAACGCAACAGTGGCCACAGGATTGGAAAAGATCAGTATACATTCCAATCCCAAAGAAGGGCAACGCCAAGGAATGTTCAAACTATCGCACAATTGCACTCATATCACACGCTAGCAAGGTCATGCTCAAGATCCTACAAGCTAGGCTTCAACAGTACGTGGATAGAGAACTACCAGAAGTACAAGCTGGGTTTCGAAGAGGTAGAGGAACGAGAGATCATATTGCCAACATTCGCTGGATTATGGAGAAAGCAAGAGAGTACCAGAAAAATATCTACTTCTGCTTCATTGACTATGCTAAAGCCTTTGACTGTGTGGATCACAACAAACTATGGCAGGTCCTTAAAGAGATGGGAGTACCAGACCACCTCACATGTCTCTTGAGAAACCTGTATAAGGGCCAAGAAGCGACAGTTAGAACCGGATACGGAACAACTGATTGGTTCAGCATAGGAAAAGGAGTACGACAAGGATGTATACTGTCACCTTGCTTATTTAATATATATGCAGAGTACATCATGCGAAATGCTGGCCTGGATGAATCACAAGCGGGAATTAAGATTGCTGGGGAAAAGATCAACAACCTCAGATATGCAGACGATACCACTCTAATGGCAGAAAGTGAAGAGGACCTAAAGAGCCTCTTGCTCAGGGTAAAAGAGGAGAGCGCAAAAGTGGGCTTGAAGCTCAACATCAAAAAAACTAAGATCATGGCATCCGGCCCCATCACTCCTTGGCAAATAGAAGGGGAAGTCGTGGAAGTAGTGACAGACTTCACGTTCCTGGGATCCCAGATCACCGCAGACTGTGACAGCAGCCATGAAATTAAAAGATGCCTGCTCCTTGGGAGGAAAGCGATGGCGAACCTAAATAGCATGATAAAAAGTAGAGACATCACCCTGCCAACAAAAGTCCGCATGATCAAAGCAATGGTATTCCCAGTAGTCATGTATGGCTGCGAGAGTTGGACTATAAGGAAGGCCGAGCGCCAAAGAATAGATTCTTTTGAACTATGGTGCTGGAGAAGACTCTTGAGAGTCCCTTGGACTGCAAGAAGATCAAATGAGTCAATCCTAAAAGAAATCAACCCTGACTGTTCCCTGGAAGGCCAGATAATGAAACTGAAGCTCAAATACTTTGGCCACCAAATGAGAAGGGAGCACTCACTGGAGAAGACCCTGATGCTGGGAAAGATTGAAGGTCAAAGAAGACGGGGACGGCAAAGGATGAGATGGTTAGACAGTGTCATCGATGCAACGAACATGAAAATTGAGCCAACTACAGAAAACGGCGGAAGACAAGAGGGCCTGGCGGGAGTAGGTCCATGGGGTCGCGAAGAGTCGGAGTCGACTGTGCAACTGAACAACAACAAGTGATGTTCAGATAAGTACATAATCGCCCCTGGCCCAGTAGTCATTCTGGATCGGGAGTCCCCAGGGGAGTTGTTTTCGAGTGACAAATTCCCCCCAACCCCTCTCTCCTGTTTCTGTATCAGAATCTGAGAGCATCCCATGATTGGCATGAGGGTAAATGCACTAAAGTCAATGGGACTACTCTCATGTAAATCTGCACACACACCCCGGTGTATTCCATGGAAGAGAGGCAAAGGGAAGAAGACTTAGAGGGGCCAGAGTACTTGGCAGAGAAATTATAGTGCTGTCAAAAAGGAGCCAGAACTTTGGACACATGCTTATGCACATGGGTGAAAGACAAAACATGTCTTAGTCATGTGGCTGGCATGACTAAACACCAAGGTGCACGGAACACTGTTACCTTCCCACTGAAGTGGTACCTATTTATCTACTTGCAATTTCTTGCTTTCGAACTGCTAGGTTGGCAGGAGCTGGAACTAGATGTGGGAGCTCACTCCGTCATGCGGCACACTAGGGTCTCGAACTGCTGAACTACCAACCTTCCACAGCCTGCATTTCAGCGTCTTAACCACTTGAGCCACCACAGTTCCTCTGAGTTAATTACTGAATAGTAAACATACAAATTAAATAGGAACAGTCAGATGTTTGCTTCTCAGCCTGTGTTCCTGAATTTAAGCTTAAAAAATTAGTTGTTTCAATAACTCATAGCAAGCTACTGTTGTGATATACACTAGACAGGCAGAAGGCATTAATTGCTAAATTAAGCAATTCACTGAGTAATTAACTACATAGATCAGTACACAATTTCTTTAGATCACTGTAACCAGACATCTTTCAGTAACAGAAATGGAACTATATGGTATGGGGTAATTTTAATTATGGTATTGTGTTTATATTAGTAGGCATTTTATAGGTTTTTATTTAAAAAAAATAGTTTCAGCACATAATAAGAGCCTGCTGGATCAGTGCAGTGGTCCATCTAGCCCAGCATCCTGTTTCACACATTGGCTAACCAGTTACTCGGGAGAGCCAGCAACAGGGCATAGAGGCCAAACTCCCCTGATGTTGCCTCCTGGCACTGGGATTCAGAGGCTAACTGCCTCTGAATGTGGAGGTTCCCTTTAGATGTCATGGCTAGTAGCCACTAATGAATCATGAATTTATGGGTGCTAAATAACTCACTTTCAATCCACTTCATTGCACTTTTCAAAAGGATTGTACTGTGTGAAATGGCAAAATCCACTTACAAATGGTCACTGAAGTGGATTGAAACTGCATTATTTAGCATGTGTGAAAACACCAAAAAACACCCCTTTTTAAAGTCATGTATGCTTGTGACCATCACTACATCCTGCCAGCAAATTCCACATTTTAAGCACTCATTGAGTAAAGAAGTAAAATACAGTATAGTGAATATAAAAATGTAAGCAGATCCATGCTGCATTAGACCAAAGACCCAGCAAGTGGACAGTCAGAGAGTCAAACTAGGAATGGAAAGACACGGATTTCAGCTATGGATGGCCTTGGGCCAACTGCTCCCTTTCAACAGAAGCTACCTCAAAGAGTTCTTGTCAGGATAAAATGGAAGACGGAAGAATCCTGATAGCCTTGAAGGAAGGGTAGGAGAAAAGAATTATAAACAAACTTTGGTTTTAGTATACTCTGTTGTTGCTTAGCCCTTGAGATGCTCCAGACTAGAAATCCAGCAAAAATAATAATATAGGGCAATGATCCAGCCAAAGTAAAATCAAGCTCTGCTAATTTCAAAATTTTGCTCGTGATTAACCCCCCCCCCCCCCCCGAATTCAAAAGGCTTAACTTTGATTGAATCATGCCCGTAATTTATTAACATTTACAATTTACGTAGGCTTTACCTCAGTGCCCTTTGAGAAACAAGCTCTTTGGGAAGCTGATCTGGATGGCTGCCAGCTCCAATTTGGGAAAAAACTAGAGATCTGTGGGGGGTGAAGCCTGAGGAGGGCAGAGTTTGGGGAGGGGAAGGACTTCAATAGGGTACAATATCATAGAGTCCACCTTTCAGTGGTCATTTTCTCCAGGGGAACTGATCTCTGTTGCCCAGAGATCAGTTCTAATAGCAGGGGATCTCCAGCCAGCACCTGGAGGCTGGCAACCCTAGTAAGCTGCCTAGAAGCTTAGTGACAGCATCAAGTGGAGTCTCCTGACTGAGGTCACTGTGAATGTTTCTGAACATCACGCTTGCTTATTAGTGTACAAAGAGGGCTGTGGCTCAATGACTATGATGGAAAATACATACTGTCCGAAAGTGGCTGCTCAAGTGGTCCAGCCTGCTAAACCGCTTTCCGCATGCTTCGCAGGGGTAAGGCCGTTCTCCCGTGTGGCAGCGAAGGTGGCGCTTCAGGTCTGCTTTCCGTTTCACCACATGAGTGCAAAAGGGGCACTTGAATCTCATCCTGGGCAGATCATCTGTTTGGAAGAACAAGTCCTGGTAAAAAAGGGAAAAACTGTACCTTCTCTGAATATAAACACCAACTGACCAGGCCTGCATACCCAATGCTTAAAAAAAAAAAACAAAGTTATGCAACTAGAATGAATTATACAGATTAGACAAATGTGCAAATATTTATTCAGCATAATTCTGCTTCTGCTACTTGTGGCAAGCTGCAAAAGCCCATTAAGAGGAGAAGAAGAGATTGGATTTATATCCTGCCCTTCACTACCCAAAAGAGTCTTATTGCAGTTTACGAATTCCTTTCTTTTCACCTCCCCACAACAGACACCCTGTGAGGTAGGTGGGCCTGAGAGAGCTTTTTCGAGAACTGCTCGTGAGATATCAGCTCTGAAAGAACTTGTAACTGACCCAAGGTCACACCAGCAGCTGCATGTGGAGGAGTGGGGAATCAAACCCGGTTCTCCCAGATTAGAGTCCGCGTTCCTAAACACTACACCAAAGTTAACACTGATGTCCTGCCCACAGGACCCCTTGGCCAGTCCCCAGCATGGGGCTTTCAAGCCCCTCTGCATCTTTACAGATGACTGATTTGTTCTTGGGGGCAGCTGAGAAGTTTGCACGCAGTATTACTACGTTTTGTGCTTGCACAATGCAGTTGTAGAATGCAAACAGCTCTATGATCAAAATGTCACAAGCTCACCACAGGTGTGTGCCTCTACTAGGGTTGCCAGATCTGGGCTGGGAAATTCTTCGAGACTCGTGGGGGTGGAGCCTGGGGAGGGACCTCAGCAAGGTATTATGCCTTGGAGTCCACCTTCCAAAGCAGCCATTTTCTCCAGGGGAACTGATCTCTATAGCCTGGAGATCTGTTGTGATTCCGGGAGATCTCCAGTCACCATCTGGAGGTTGGCAATCCTAGCCTCTACCCTGAGTTCCCTGGACATTTCAATGACCACAGGGCAGGGAGAAGTCTGTTTCCTTTGGTGCTGGCTTTGCAGAAGGAGACTACAAGACCCATCCCACTAGTGCTATAACACCTTTTGCAAAAGCCCCACTAGAAATAAAGCAAGGCCCACAACACCCCCCCCTCTCAGTCTTCTGGCACTGCATGAAGATATGGTAGGGTTGCCAACCCTAAGTTAGGAAATTCCTGGAAATTTTGGGTTGGAGCTTGGGGAAAGTGGGACCTTAGGGCAATCTAATGACACAGAATCCACCCTCCAAAGCAGGCATTTTCTTCAGCAGCACTGATCTCTGTCATCTGTGGATCAGTTATAGCTTCAAAAGCTCTCCAGACCCCACCTGGGGGTTGGCAACCCAAGGATAGAGGCAGGATTGCTCCATCTCCTGCAGGGCTCTGGAGGCCAAGAATGGGCAGAGCTTCAAATAGCTTCCCCCTTCCTCAGTGCTGCCAAAGGCACCACTGGGGAAGACAGAAGCAGAAGCAACTGAAGATTAAATCAGATTACAAAATCCTTGTGTCCCCCTCACATGTCTGCCATGGGTCCTGTCAATGGGTGTGCTCTGAATGTTCATGTTTGGAATTTAATTCCCAGGCAAGGACTTGCATAAGCCTCCCCTCCCACACTGTTGTCCCAACCAGAAAGTCCCCCTGAGAGCCACTACTCTCCATATGGGAACAAATCCTGAATTGGGGAAAATTTTGCACACGTATCCAATGATTCATATTGGGAAATTCACGTGTACTGATGGGCTACAAGTATGTTTCCCCAAAACAATGGCTTTGTGGAGCTGTTTCAGGTTGGAAAAATTATTCAGGGTTGCAAGCCCAGTTCTGGCAACTGGCCAGAGCTTTTGAGGAGCAAGAACATATACATTGGCATTGCTCCAATGTCACTTCTGGCACAAAACCATAAGAAGAAGAAGAGGAGGAGGAGGAGGAGGAGATTGGATTTATACCCCACCCTTCACTACCCAAAGGAGTCTCAGAGCGGCTTACAAACTCCTTCCCCTTCCCCTCCCCACAACAGACACCCTGTGAGGTGGGTGGGGCTAAGAGAGCTCGGACAGAAACTGCTCTTTTTCAAGGACAGCCCTTATCAGAACTACGGCTTGCCCAAGGTCATCCAGCAGGTGCAAGTGGAGGAGTGGGGAATCAAACCCAGTTCTCCCAGATTAGAATCCGTGCACTTAACCACTACACCAAACTGGCTCCAAAATGGTAAGTGATGTCATCTTATCAGGGCAATGCTCTTGGATTGACTGGAACGCTATCATTTTACTCAAGTGAGAGACCTGGCAGCCCTTGGTTGGGGGAAAGCTTAAGCTCCCCTCCCCATGGTCCCAATCTGAACAGGGCCCACATGTGCCCGTGGAATTGAGTTTGAGTACAGAACTCCCAGAGCACACCTGTTGACAGGTCCTTTGGCAGGCATGTTGGGACCTTAGTAACAAGCGAATCCACATCATGCTGCTGCTTCCTGCAAAAGCCTCAAGCAAATGGAAACACCAGAACCCAACCTCCCCCCCTTTCCAGTTATTTTTTATGGCATAGAAAACTGGGAGAAGAGGCCGGGGCAATCAATGCAAATAACAGCTGGATAGTAAGGTCTATTGCTACTTCATCCATGCATTCAAATGTAGTCAGGAAGGTATCCACATCACCCTCTGGGCCAAGATTAGTCAGCTGGAATAGTGGCAGGTATGTAGCTGGGCCACTCTCTCTTGGGGCAGGGTCAGAGCCAGATTCAAAGCCCTAGAGTAAATCCCTGAGAAAAGAGCCCTGTGACTCCTGTTGCTGAATTATATCTCGGAGAACCTTCTCCTGATGCTCCACAAACCACTGGCCAAACTGGGCCAATTCCATCATGGGCCATGAAGCAGGCTGAATGGCTTGGGCTTCAATTGGTACAGCAGTAGCTGCTCGCTTTTCAGAGGGAAGCCAGACCTTGCTGTTGGGTTGGTAAGGTAAGAAAGGGTGGATCACCAAACAGGCTTGGGTCACAGTGCCTGCATTCTCCACCAGTTTGCCAGGTCCTGGTCCACAGCTATTGTACATCAGGATCCAACATGTATGAAGCCATTTCCTGTGTCCTCAAACCAAAGGGAGTGCAGGGTTAAGAAGCCCCCTACTCCACCTCCTCACAGTAGTGGACTCTAATCTGGAGAACCGTGTTTGATTCCCCACTCCACCACATGCAGCCAGCTGGGTGACCTTGGGACAGTCACAGTTCTCTCAGAGCTGTTCTCTCGAGAGCAGTTCTCTCAGAACTCTCTCAGCCCCACCTATCTCACATGGTGTCTGTTGTGTGGAGAGGAAGAGAAGGAGATTGTAAGCTGCTTTGAGACTCTGAGTGAAGGACAGAGTATAAATCCAATATCTTCTTCTACACCCTCCTTAGCCTCTTCCCTCAAGCCTTTTAAAGGCTCTAGCCTTGCCTGGGGCATGCCCAGTACCTATACCCAGAAACCCTAGGGGGGCATGCCCATGAAAAACCAATGGCTGCCTTGTAACAACCTCCTCCAGCCACCCCCCTTTCCTACCCAAAGGGTGGAACCACAAGAGAAGGGACTGTCTGACTTTGAAAGGTCCAGCCACCGCTGATCAGCTGGCTGAGGTGTGGCTCTTTAGCACATGTGTCTATGGCCCCACCAGACCTGGTGGGTACAACCTTTGGTGCCAGGAAGTGCCCTAGATGATTTGCATATATTCAATGTTTTAATTGATTAATAAAAGCATTTCAGTTGGCACTGTCCCCCTCCCTCCAACAGAAGACAAAGATAAGAAACAGAACACAAAGGAAACTGTTCCTAAATCAGTTTTAAAATAAATCCGTTTTGTACAGTTGTAACAACCATGTACACTTTTAAACAATATGCAACACTGAGAAAGTGTAACACACTAAAGGTAGTATTGCAAATTTATGAGGCAATAAAACATTTCTAGAGGGAGCAAGAAGCACAAATAGACTCCAAATAATTTATTTTGCTCTTCAACAATGGAATATATCTGTTTTCGGAAGTCTTCCCTTTTCAATTTGTGCAAGGAGCTTACCCATCTCCCACAATCACTGCAGCTTCTTCAAGAACCCGTAACAAGGAATCAGGGAAAAGGCTTGTTCCAATGCAATAATTTTTGGAACAGAAAACACAAAACTGAGGATGTAAGTACAAATTCTGTCCATGTTAGGACTTGGGTATTAATTATTTACTTGATTTAGAAAATGTATACGCCATCCCTCCAAACCTGGTTGTATGTCTCTAGAGACTGTACATGATTGAACTGATGAAGGAACGATTGATCTAGAATTTCTCTTTTTAAAAAAAATTATAAATTCTCTTCCCCATACAAACATTGATAAAGAGTGCTAAACGCTCAAAAATGCATTAGGTTGGATCCCATGAAAAAGATCATGGAAGGACTTGGTACAAGAAATCACACCCCTGTACTGTGTTGTTCATGAGGGTCCCAACAAAGGATTTTCCAGATGAGCAGCAGGCAGCTGGGGGAAGAAGGTGGAGAAGGCTGATGAGAGCTACCGTGGGCACCCAAAGGTTCCACCTGCCTTCCCGTATGACCCTGATCAAAACAAAATATCATAACAAAATAAATCTTGGTGTTACCCTGAATCTATAGTAATTAAAGAAACAGCCTGCCTGTTCATCTGTCCATTTGCGGCAGGCACAACACATCAGAAAATAAAACTAGGAAACTCAATATTAGCTAGGAGCTTCAGGATGGTTCTGGGGCCAAAAATGAAAGGTATGGGAATATCCTAACCCAGATTATCTCAAGACAACCCCCCCCCCCTGTTCCAATGGAAGCTAAGGGTCTCTGTTCTAGGCAGGCATAACTCATCAGAAAATAATGCTACGTGTTTAAAAACTGGCCACCAACCCCAGATTGATGATGGAAGTTGCAGTCCAAAAAATGAAGGGAATTGGAATACCCTGATGCAGGTTATCTTCACGATAGGCAACATGCTCAGCAAGTTTGCTTCAGTCTTGCAGAAAGGTGAGTCCGAGATGATACAATGCTTTTTACAGTGCTCAGGTTTCCCTGCACCCCTAGTGGCTGCAACCAGAACTGCATTAAAGGTAACAAATGGAAAGGTATTTGGCTGGATGCCGCATGAGGGGTCCTCCAACTGACTTGGGTCCTGGGGATTTTGTCACCCTAGTCCCTCCCCTGCAGCCCTGGGAATGCTCTGCTTCACCAAGTCCTTCCATAAGCCTTTCTCCTGGATCCAAACCACTGGGACCATAAAACTACATCTTGTGCACAGTGGAATTACAAGCTAAGATGGTTCTGGGTGTTTTTTAGTGCACATAATATTTAGCCCATGCAAGTCATCATTACTGGTAACTATTTTTAATTATACAATAACCATCTGTCAGTGAAAAACAGGCCTGCACTAAAGGTATAGCCTTACCGTCGGCCCAGCTCCCCATTACGCCCAATACTGAGTGCATGCTGGGATATTGCTCATCCCCCTTGGGTGATTTCACCTTGCCGGCAGAATGGGGGGATTCGTGCTCTTGCTGTGGCATTGCCAAGCCTCTCGGGAGGGCATCAGATCCCTGACTGTACTGGTAGCCACTGTGACCAGAATCCCCTTCCGAGTCAATCTGGACGTCCTCTTCCGAGGCAGGAACGTGGCTTGCAGGCTCTGAAGCATGCTCTTCCAGTTTGCTCGATTTATAGTGAGGGATGTCCGCGGGCTGTGGCAATCCTATGTGCTTGCTGCTTTTCTTCATGGAATCTTGCCATTGCTCTTGCTTGGACAGCTGCTGGGCATTCCGCTGAGCAGATGGGTAATAGCTATAACTGCTCCACGAATTCCCACTGACTATACATGTCCCTTGATCTGGGCTTAAGTGCACATGGGGCGGGCTGCTCTCCACTTTCCAGCCACCACCCCCGTAGAGGCACAAATGTTCCACACCATTTGAGTTCACTTCCTTGTCTGAGAGGCTGAAATAGCGATCCTTTTCCTTCTCGCTGATGTCCAAGGAAGATTTAATGAACGTCTTACAAACGCTAATGACATCGGTCATTTGCAGGTAGCTGGCAGCCGACATGACCTCGATCACATTTTGTCCAGTAAGGGAGAGTTTGCCCGAATACACAAAATCCAGGATAACGGAAAATGTTTCAGGAGAAAAGGCCTGGAAGGTGGCTGTTGTGGGTTGGCTGGCTTCTTTAGAGCACTGGGAAAGGAGCATTTTGAAGTAGCCACTGCTGGCAAAAAGCACATTCCGATGGGCTTTGAAGACTTTCCCCTCAACCAAAATGCTGCAGTCACAGAATAGGTCCTGCCTGCGCTGCTCATTTAACTGCTGCAGGAGGTGGAACTGGTGGGAAGAAATCTCCATGCTCAAACGGGGATGAAGTCCTCTAGAAAAAGAGAACAAATTGTCTCCATTTTCTACATACAACAATATTGGGGGGGGGAGGTTTTAATATTAAAGATGTTAATTTAAAAGAAACATTAAGGCTGCAATCCTAACACTCTCCTGGGAATAAGAGCTATTGAGTGGGTCGTACTTTTGAGTAGACTGACTTCAGATTGCTCCCTAAGGCACTTGTGACAGGCTGCAATCTCAAACATGTTAAGACAGAAGGAAAGGCCACACATGGTATGAAGACACTTGAAGTCTTTCCCAGTTTTATTGGGAGCTTCGTTTTTAAAAGGATGCTTAACCTTTTTCCTGCAAAGATGTTTTTCATGATCAATAACCTCTTCTCCCTAACAGAAACGATATATGGGCTATCTTTCTTCCTATGCAGGGGAAAACAGGTGCATCTGTGGGAATCCTTATAGGAGAAACAAGCCACGGGGCAAGAGTTAAGCCCCTGAACCACCACCCCAGCTATGGTTCCATCCAAATTTGGAGCCTCCACCAGCTACAGTATATTAAAAAGAGAGAGTCACTTCAAGTATCTCCCATGCCATGCCTCTTTTGGTCCTTATCCTCTTGAATTTCATGAGATGTACTTTGGAATGAGCTGAATCTGGCCTGCAGGAAGGCGGACAACACTGGGTGCTGGTTTAACACATGGCAGCTTTGTGCACTCACAGCAAATGAAAGATTTGCAACCCGCTTCATGATTAGGTGTGTGCAAAGGGACATCAGAAAGTGCTGCCACTCCTTCCACTAAGGAGAAAAGCTTTGTTGGAAGAAAGGAAGCAATTCAGCACCTTGGTGGACCCTATCCAAGAGCTGAATCAATCACCATGGTCAGGTAGTCCGGCCTGAGCCCAGGAATGGCAAGTCTGTGTTGTTAGTGTCATGAAAACTTGTTTCTCTGGCTGCTTCCACAACGTAACAAATTTCCATGTAGCTCTCATTGCTCTTGAAAATAAGAGGTATTCCCAGGGGTGATGGAGTGCCTACATGGCATTTTTGCCCTTCCTTTCCTTGGCCCTCCATGCCCACCATTCCCCACCCCATGCCACTAGAGGGCTTATTTAAAAACTGGCAATTGCTAGATTGCTATAGCGCACTAAAAACTGTAATATTTTGCCATGATTTATTCGCTCCTATTTACTCCCAGTATTCATTTTAAAGAATAAGTCTCTATGCCTTTTGGCTGGGTGACAAAAAGGGCTAGAGTCATTTTTAAAAAATGAAAGCTGGGAAATTCAGAGTAGTACTGCAAAGCAAAAGAACCTGCCATAATGTTATTGCTATAGCAGCACAGCAATTCCTGATTTAAAAAAAAGCCCTCTAGTGGTGCAGGGACTGTGTGAGATGGCAGCTAGGTGGTGGGACTGATGCAATGAATATTGTGCCAATGAGTTGGAACGGGAAATGAGCACCTTCCCATCCACCAGATGTGCAAAGGGGCTTTGACAACAATTACCCCCAAAAGGTCTTATCAAACCAAGTTTGGGAAAGACTGCATAAAAGCAAGAGAAAACCTGGGAAGTGGATGATTAGGGGACAACATTGTGCAAATGCTCCCAAAGAACCTTGCTCTGGTCTGGCTGCCAAACCAGAGCATAACCTCTGTGTGGAAGCAACCACGGTTTAGTAACATCTCCCTATTTCAAACCTTGTGGCTGTAAACTCAAGGTTTTTGAGGCCCTGAGACCAATGCGCCCTCTAAGATGTGGAGTCCTGTGAGCAAAAATGCTACTTTCTGAGCTACTGACCTTAAAGTTGTGAGCGAGCAATTTGGCTGCTACTTGAATTAGTTTGCTCTAGAGCCATCCTTCCCAAGCGAAGACAAAAATGTCTCAGCCAGAGGCTAAAAAACTGTGAGCTGGCACACACTGACTCAGCTTAGTGGGAACACTGCCTGAGACAAATTACCAGTTCTCACAAGTGGTGTGTTGTGGGGGGAATGCACGGATAGATCTGAATCACTGGTGCAGGCAAACAACAGCTAGTGCACAGGTAATTTGAAGCAGCAGGTTTTCCCTCAAGTTTCTCCCCGACAAATTTTGCACTAAGCACACAGTCCGTGCCAAGTTCTGCCCGTGTCAGCAGAGGAACAGCAACTTTTTCACCGTCCTCAAACTGTCACATCGAAAAGAATCATCACAAGGTTTGTGATCGGAAAAGTCCCCGATTCAGAATTCCCTCCGGTCTCCGCAGCCCTGTCCAGCTAATCAGGCCCGCGTTACTAATTCACAGGACACATTTCACCCTGCGACTGGCAAGCCAGGCTGGTTGTCGGAGAGGCATAATGGCTGATCGTGCCTCCGCTCTCTGCGGGCAGCCTAGCTCCCAGACGATCCCCGCCTCCGGGGGGGCAAGCGATGGCTCCGCGCCCCTGACGATGGCATCCGGTCCTCCCGGAGGCCCGAGCGGCGTGGCGAACTTGCTGGCAGGCCCAGCGCTTCCAGGGGCTAGGGGCGGCCGAGGCGCGGAGCCCGCGGGCGTCCCCCCGGGGCGGATTCCGACGGCCCGTCTCCGCCCCCTCCGAAGATGCGCCGCCAGGCGGAGAGGGCCAGGTGGCCGTCCCGAGAGGCTACGTTCCCGGGCTGCTGCTCGGCTTCGGCGCACTGGCCGCATTGGCAGGGGGCGCACTCGCTTTCTGGCGCGCCCGGCTAGAATTGGACGCTCAGCCGTCGGGAGCCAGGGACGCCTGCCGGCGCCCAGCACGCCCGCCGAGTCCCGGGGGAGGGCTCCGGCTGCCTGGCCTCGGGAGGGCGCCGGTGCCGCAGTGCCCGCCCGCGCCCCGGCTCCCCCCTCCGCCCTTTGTGCCAGCCCTGCCTTCCTCGCCCGCCCGCCTGCCCGCCTGCCTACCCGCTTTTTGTCGCGGCTCTCCGAGTGCCGCGCCCGCG